ATGAGAATAAGAAAAGGAAAAGAATAGGCGAACATTGTAGTGGACTTTCTAAATCGCGAAGTTTCCAAAATTTGAAAGTGCATTGAACTAGGGTTTCCACTTTTGGAAAGTTGGAAATTGAGAGTTGGGACTCATAATGACGAGGACATTATAATGATTTCGAAAATGTAATCGTTGCAATTTTTCGGTCATTGAATTGAGAGAGACGAGCAAGTAAAAGTACTAACGAACTTAAGTTGTTGGGCCCGGTCCAACATAAGCCCGCTAGGGTTTTGTGCAAGACACTATAAATACAAGATTTATAGGTCTTATACAAAAACATACCAAAAAACCCTAACCCTAGCCGCTCACACTCTCTCTCACTCGGCCCTCTCTCCTCGGCCACCGCGCCGCCGTCGCCGGAAAGTCGCCGGAATCGGCCATCTGTTGGCCGATCCCTTTCGGTACTCTTTTCCCTCTTTCTTTTCTTCCGTTATTTCTAACTATTACGTATCTAGTGCCACGTGTTTAGTAGATCGAAGTATACGAGGTGAAATCCGAGAGGAGGAAGATCGAAGATCGAAGAATCGAGGAGCAGCACACGAGCCGAAGCCGCACGCAACCCCACGCGCCGCCCGAAGACCGCGCGTGAGTTACACGCGCTGCCGTGGCCGTCACGCCGCTGCTGCCGCTCCACCGTTGCTGCCCCGGATTGTACGGATCGGTTTCCGTAGCAATCTCGTCTTGCTTAATGCGCCTACCTCACGCTTCAAGAGGTAAACTCACGATTCATTGTTCTTGATTCGTATACGTTTAAATTAAATATGTATGTTCGTTCTTGAATGATTTTATGTGTTTACATGAAATTGATTTATATGTTACGAGCATGTTATTTAAACGCGAGCATGCTAATTGATTTAAATTCGGTTAAATAATTGAGCATGTATATCGTTTTTAATTTCGCTGGAAGCGCAAAGGTATGCAATTAATTGTTTTAATTATCGGGCATGTGTTTATGTGTTTTAAAGCTGTTTAAATCGCATAAAATTTTTGTTTTCCGCTGTGTACACGTGCCCGAAACCCAACAGTGGTATCAGAGCTCGTTGTGCAATTAATTGCGTTCGTTTTAATATGCTATGATTTTATGCAGGTTCCATTAATTAAAGTAGCGATTGTTGTATTATGTAATTGGGAGTTTTCGTAAGTTTAAAATATTTTTGAAATATTGTTTAGGATTTTTCCAGCTTTAAAATTGTTTAAAATTGGAAAATCGGATCTAAAATTATTTTAAAATTGTCGGTTATTAATTTGTTCAGATCGAACCGGTCGAACCGGCCGGTTCGATGGTTGTGCACGATCCAATTGACCGAATCGAAGTGGATTCGGGTCGGTCAGACTGATCCGGCCCACTGATTTGGGTCAACTGGACCGGGCAGAACCGGACCGCTTCGGTCCGAACCGGTCAGACTGGTTGGGCCGAACCGGTTCACTGAAAATAAAAAAAATAAAAATAAAAATTCCAGATTTCTAAAATTAAACTTAAAATTATTGATTTTAATTTTCAGAAAATTATTTTCAATTAATCCCAATTAGATAATCGAGTCAACAATCATCTATTTTAGTAAATATGTGTTAGATTAATTAATTAATTTAAATTGTTAAATTAATTTCAATTAATGGAACACATATATAATATTGATTATAATTCAACTTGATTAGTAGTACCTCAACATTATATGAATGATTTATGCTAGTTGAGGTTCTATAATTATTTTGAAAAACCCGATAATTAATTAATGTAATTAATTATGTAGTTAGGTCGTACGTTCCTCTTAGGACAATATGCGTTTCCATATACCTTTAGAGAACATAGATGTAGGAATCACATAGACCAATCCAAACCTTCTGATGAGAAATAACTTTAAATAAAAATCCCTCATTCTTAATCTAATTAAGAATCATTTCAAGCTATAAAGAAAAACCCAATCTGTTGAGTTATTTCTTTCCTTCTGCCAACGGTTGGATTATGTGTAGCCCTTCACTGTAGTGCAGTAAGCCGTGTTAGCGGGGAGTGCTATGGTGGAGTAAGATGTAATTCAATTGACATAGCGATAAAGGTAGCCATAGAAAAGGATTATGTTGGATTAATGTGGTCGGCTAGATTAACTAGGGACTGCATTAGTTTGGCATAATCAAGTTCTATGAGCATCTTTGATTGGTAGGTTAGACTTGAGACACGACGATTTTGATATTCGCGAGATTAACTTAGGTCATTATCAAGTGTGAGGAAAATTAATTTAGGGTCATATTGTGGATATGATTGATTGTGATCTACCTTTGGGCAAATATAATCGGGCTAGATTAACTACGGGTTATATTTGTCTATTGGACCTAAAGCCCATTAAGAAAAATCAGTTTTCTCGTTTGTCTACTAGAGGGAAGTGGAATTCAATAAAATTAGTGGGAGAACAATTTTAATAACATAAGACCAAGCATTTAATTGCTAACAATCATTTAACGCGAATCTCTAATAATCCTCTTCTCTATACCTCTCAGATAATCATGTCTAAGAATCCCATAATGTCAATCCTCGACAATAAACTCAATGGCCCAAATTACCTAGATTGGTTGCGTAGTCTTAAGCTTGTGCTAACCGTTGAAGGGCGTCTCTACGTTCTGAACAAGAGACTTCCCGCCACTATACCTGCCACATCGACTGATGTTGAAATGGAAACTTATGAAGCTTGGAAGAAAGATGACACTCATGCTAGGTGCTATATGATAGCCGCCATGGAGCCCGCGCTTGCGAGGAAATATGAGTCTCACAAGCATGCTTTCGATATAAAGGCTCATCTCGATAGCATGTATAGTGAGAATATTAGGGCATCGAGGTACGCTGCTACAAATGAGTTGATCACGGTGAGACTGCGCGAAGGGACTTCGGTCCACGAGCACTGTCTCAAAATGATCACTCTCCTTGAAAAGCTAGTGAATCTCGATGTCACCCTCCCGGCCGAGCTCTCGTTGGATTTGATCCTATTGTCTCTTCCTAGTTCCTATGAATCGTTCATAGTGAACTTCAACATGAACAAACTAGATCCTCCCTTGGATGAGTTGATGAACATGTTGGTCAGTTTCGAGTCCACCATTAAGAAAGAGAAGTCTGTTCTCATTGCTGCTACTTCTGGAAAGAAGAGTTCATCTCAAAAGAAGAGAAAGGAAAGAGTTCCCTTGCCAAACAGCAAGCTCGAAGTGGGTGAAGGTAGTGGGGGCCCCAAGGCAAAGGTCAGCAAGCAAGTTGATGATGCTTGCCATCACTGTGGAAAGGAAGGACATTGGCGCCGCAACTGCAAGGCTTACCTAAAGTAGAAAAGTTCTGAAAAGGGTACGTATTTCATTGACGTAAATTTATCTGTCAACTCTTCTTCTTGGGTATTGGATACGGGCTGTGGCTCACATTTGTGCAATGATTTGCAGCGAATGACAAGAAGTCGAAAGCTTAGAGCAGGTGAGACCTACCTAAGGATGGGGAATGGAGCAAGAGTTGCTGCTGAAGCCATTGGCACGATTTATTTAAATGTTTTGGATTCGAGTTTTCCTATTGTTTTGAACGATTGTTTATTTTTTCCGTCCCTCATTAGAAACCTTATTTCTATTCTTGTATTAGACATTGAAGGTTTTACTTTTGTTTTTGGAAATTCGATTTGCATTATACAAAAGAATGAGAATTTGATTTGCAAAGGATGACTATTAAACAACTTGTATGAACTAAATCCAAATGAAATACCTATTAATGTTATATCAGCAAAACGTAAGGAGATAGATCAAAACCCCGCACAACTTTGGCACGCTAGATTAGGTCATGTCTCTTTAAGAAGGATGAACGATTTTGTTAGTGAAGGATTGTTCTCTTTAGAGGACGTGAAATCACTACATACTTGTGAATCTTGCCTTAAAGGGAAAATGACCAAGTCACCCTACTAGGGGAAAATTGAACGAGCCGAGGGTCTTTTGGATTTGATCCATACAGACGTATGTGGTCCACTAAGTGTTAGTGCGAAGGGTGGATGCAACTACTTCGCTACCTTTACCGACGCTTATTCTAGGTATGGGTATGTATACTTGATGAAGTACAAGTCTGAAACATTTGAAAGGTTCAAAGATTTTAGACACGAAGTAGAAAAGCAACTCGGACGAAGTATTAAGAAGCTGCAATCCGATCGTGGTGGAGAGTACTTGAGCATCGAGTTCATTGACTATCTGAAAGAGAATGGAATACAATCTCAATGGACTCCACTTGGAACTCCTCAACTTAATGGAGTCTTCGAACGTCGGAATCGAACTTTATTGGATATGGTTCGATCAATGATGGGGTTCACGAACTTACTGGCATACTTGTGGGGTTATGCACTTCGTACTGCCGTGTATTTGCTGAATAGAGTTAACTCTAAAGCAGTTAAATCCACACCTTATGAACTTTGGCATTCCCGGAAACCCAACTACAAACATATTAGGATATGGGGTTGTCCCGCCTATGGGTTGTCCCGCTTATGTGAAGCGATTAGTGGGAGATAAGTTGGATAGTAAATCCGACTTGTGCTATTTTGTGGGGTATCCCGAAGATTCGATGGGATACGAATTCTATTATGTTAGGGAAGCAAAGACGTTTGTTTCGAGAAATGCTACCTTTTTGGAAAGGGAGTTTCTATCCGATAGAAAAGGCAGCATGATAGAACTTGAAGTAGTTCAAGAACCACAAAGTGAAGTTCAAACGCAAGAACAAGTAATCGAACCAATACAACAATCCACTAATATACCTCCTGAACCTACGGTACGTAGATCCGAAAGAGTGCAGAAAATGCCGGATAGGTTATTCCTCCTCAAGAATGATGAAGATCATGATGATCTTGGACAAGATCCAAGAACATACAATGAGGGCGTATCGGATACGGACATGGGACATTGGCTGACTGCCATGAAATCTAAGATGGACTCCATGTACTCCAACAAGGTATGGACCTTGGTAGATCCACCTAAGGGAATTTTTCCTATAGGCTGCAAGTGGATCTATAAGAAGAAAATTGGAGTGGATGGAAAGGTATCGACCTATAAAGCTAGATTGGTAGCAAAAGGATACACTCAAAGGCAAGGTGTTGACTATGAAGAAACCTTTTCGCCAGTCGCGATGCTGAAGTCCATTAGGATTTTGCTGGCCATAGCTGCGTGGTACGACTACGAGATATGGCAAATGGATGTGAAGACCGTCTTCCTTAATGGAGATATTGAGGAACAAATTTACATGGCGCAGCCGGAAGGCTTCATATCTTCTGGAAATGAGCAAAAGGTTTGCAAGCTCCAGCGATCCATTTATGGATTGAAACAAGCATCCCGTAGTTGGAACATTAGGTTCGACTCAACTATCAAGGAGTTTGATTTTGAGAAGAACCCCGAGGAACCTTGTGTATACAAGAAGGTTAGTGGGAGGGCAGTGATATTTTTAGTGCTTTACTTTGATGACATTCTACTCATTGGGAATGACGTAGGAATGTTGCAGCAAACGAAAGCATGGTTGTCCACATGTTTCTCAATGAAGAATTTGGGAGAAGCAGCTTATGTATTAGGAATACGCATCTATAGAGATAGAGCAAGGAAGATGCTTGGATTATCCCAAAGCCTGTACAAAGACACCGTTATGAAACGGTTTAGCATGGAAGAATCAAAGAAAGGATTCTTGCCAATGTCCCATGGGGTTCGTCTCTCGAAATCTATGTGTTCGCAAACACCTAGTGAAATCGAGGAGATGAAAAGGACGCCCTATGCTTCTGCCATAGGAAGCATAATGTATGACATGCTGTGTACGAGACCCGATATTGCGTATGTTGTGAGTGTCACAAGCAGATATCAGTCTAACCCCGGCCCGGCTCACTGGAAGGCCGTGAAAGATATCCTCAAGTACTTACGAAGGACTAAGGATATATTTTTGGTTTGTGGGGGTGCCGAGTTGAAATTAGAGGGTTTTACCGACTGTAGTTTTCAATCGGATGTGGACGACTCAAAGTCGAATCCGGGATTTATATTCACGCTTAATGGTGGTGCCGTGTGTTGGAAGAGTTCCAAGCAAAGACGACGGCCGATTCCACTACCGAAGCGGAATACATTGCAGCGTCCGAAGCTACAAAAGAAGGGACTTGGATAAGGAAGTTCATCCAAGAGTTGGGTGTCGTTCCCAATGCTAGTGATGCGGTACCGTTGTACTGTGATAACACCGGAGCCGTGACGCAAGCTAAAGAGCCGCAATCTCATCAGAAGTCGAAGCATATTCTGTGGAAGTATCATGTGATCCGAGAGATCATTGATAGAGGTGAAGTTATAGTAGAACGAGTCACCTCGGAAGAGAACGTTGCAAACCCCTTCACGAAGCCTTTACCGAGATCGGTCCATGAGAAACATCGAGAGTCGATGGGATTGCGACTCATGGGTAGTTGGCTTTAGGTCAAGTGGGAGATTGTTAGAGTAGGTGACCAACAAGCCAACTTGTGGCTGTGGTCTTTCGTAATTATTATTGTAATAAACGAACCTTTATTCGTATTAATGATAAAACACATTGGCATTCTATATCTTTGTCCCTTTGTCACAAGCATAGATATAGTCCTTACAGTTATTACAAGTACTAGTAATTGATCGTTAGGATCGTGAGATATTTACTTAAGTATTATAACTGTTAAACGTGTTCCTAGTCGAAGGGTTACGCCACTAATGAGGATATCGGCCTTTCCCATTAAGACTAGCACTTAGTGTATGTGTACTGCATCTCATCAGTAAACGGTATTGTGATATCGGCATGCATAAGTGGGTGCTCGTAAGTTGACAAGTTCACTGAACTCCCTCACCCTAGAAATCTCTAAGTGGTTCCCAATAATCGAGTAGAGATGTCTATGGTATAGTTGTACACCATTAGTCCTTATGACCTAGACATCACCGTGACTTCACTAGAGGACCAGCTGTATCGTGACCTGTCCCTGAGTTCCACCGAGGACCATCCCAAGGGCCAGTGTTCGTGCAGTCCGAAATCTAGTGGGAGGTCTGTGCATTGTAGTCGGGGATTCGATCGCTAGAATAGTCTTGGATGTCCTGTGTGTTCTACACCGAAAAACATAACCATTCTCTGTTAAATCAGTCGCTCCCGACAACCACTTAGTCGCTCCCGACGTTTTCAGAGCAATTCTCGAAATCTAACAAAACGGCCCCGACAACCACTTTGTCAAATTCAATTTCCAACGTTCTCGTATTTTTTATTATTTTTTCGGGTCGAAAAATTTTCGGACGTTCGGCACCGCCTGGGCCGGTGTGCGGGGCAACCTTGCCCAAACTAGTCGCTCCTGACGTTTTCGGAGCAATTCTCGAAATCTGACCAAACGGGTCGAAAATTTTTCGGACGTTCAGCACCGGGTGGGCTGGTGTGCAGCAACGGATGGGCCGGTGCGCGGGGCAGCCTTGCCCAAACTAGTCCCTCCCGACGTTTTCGGATCAATTCTCGAAATCTGACAAAACTGCCCCACAACCACCGTGCCAAATTCCATTACCTACGTCCTCGTATTTTTATTATTTTTATAGGGTCGGAAAATTTTCGAACTTTCGGCACTGGCCCAGCTGGTGTGCGGGGCAGCCTTGCCCAAACTAGTCGCTCCCGACGTTTTCGGAGCAATTCTCGAAATCTGACCAAACGGCCCCGACAACCACTGTGCCAAATTCAATTTCCAATGTCCTCGTATTTTTTATTATTTTTTTCGGGTCGGAAAATTTTCAGACTTTCGGCACCGGCCCAGCCGTTGTGCGGGGCCGCCATGCCCAAACTAGTCGCTCTCGACGTTTTCGGAGCAATTCTCGAAATCTGACAAAACGGCCCCGACATCCACCGTGCCAAATTCAACTTCCTACGTCCTCGTATTTTTTATTATTTTTTTCAGGTCGGAAAATTTTCGGACATTCGGCACCGGCCTAGCCGGTGTGCGGGGCAGCCTTGCCCAAACTAGTCGCTCCTAATGTTTTCGGAGCAATTCTCGAAATCTGACAAAACGGCCCCGACAACCACTGTGTCAAATTCAATTTCCTACGTACTCGTATTTTTAATTATTTTTTTTGGGTCGGAAAATTTTCGGACTTTCGGCACCGGCTGGGCCGGTGAGCAGCAACGGCTGGGCCGGTGTGCGGGGCAGCCTTGCCCAAACTAGTCGCTCCCAACGTTTTCGAAGCAATTCTCGAAATCTGGCAAAACAGCCCCAACAACCACAGTGCCAAATTCAATTTCCTACGTCCTCGTATTTTTTATTATTTTTTTCGGGTCGGAAAATTTTTGGACGTTCGGCACCGGCTGGGCCGGTGTGCGGGGCAGCCTTGCCCAAACTACTCACTCCCGACGTTTTCAGAGCAATTCTCAAAATCTGACAAAACGGCCCCGACAACCACTTTGTCAAATTCAATTTCCAACGTTCTCATATTTTTTATTATTTTTTCGGGTCGCAAAATTTTCGGACGTTCGGCACCGGCCCAGCCGGTGTGCGGGGCAGCCTTGCCCAAACTAGTCGCATACGACGTTTTCGGAGTAATTCTCGAAATCTGACAAACCGGCCCCAACAACCACCGTGCTAAATTCAATTTCCTACGTCCTCGTATTTGTTTTTTTTTGGGTCGGAAAATTTTCGGACTTTCGGCACTGGCCCAGCCGGTGTGCGGGGCAACCTTTCCCAAACTAGTCGCACCCGACGTTTTCGGAGTAGTTCTCAAAATCTGACAAAACTACCCTCACAACCACCGTGCTAAACTCAATTTCCTACATCCTCGTATTTTTAATTATTTTTTTCGGGTCGGAAAATTTTCGCAATTTCGGCACCGGCCCAGCCGGTGTGCGGGGCATCCTTGCCCAAACTAGTTGCTCCCGACGTTTTCGGAGAAATTTTCGAAATCTGACCAAACGACCCCGAAGAGCACCGTGCCAAATTCAATTTCCTACGTCCTCGTATTGTTTATTATTTTTTTCGGGTCGGAAAATATTCGGACTTTCGGCACCGGCTGGGCCGGTGTGCGGGGCAGCCTTGCCCAAACTAGTCGCTCCCTACGTTTTCGGAGCAATTCTCGAAATCTGACAAAACGGCCCCGACCACCACTGTGTCAAATTAAATTTCCTACGTACTCGTATGTTTTATTACTTTTTTCGGGTCGGAAAATTTTCGGACTTTCGGCACCGGCTCGGCCGGTGGGCAGCAACGGCTGGGCCAGTGTGCGGGGCAGCCTTGCCCAAACTAGTCGCTCCAAACATATTCGAAGCAATTCTCGAAATCTGGCAAAACGGCCCCAACAACTATCGTGCCAAATTCAATTTCCTACGTCCTCATATTTTTTATTATTTTTTTCGGGTCGGAAATTTTTTGGACGTTCGGCACCGGCTGGGCCGGTGTGCGGGGCAGCCTTGCCCAAACTACTCGCTCCCGACGTTTTCAGAGCAATTCTCGAAATCTGACAAAACGGCCCCGACAACCACTTTGTCAAATTCAATTTCCAACGTTCTCGTATTTTTTATTATTTTTTCGGGTCGGAAAATTTTCGGACGTTCGGCACCGCCTGGGCTGGTTTGCGGGGCAACCTTGCCCAAACTAGTCGCTCCTGACGTTTTCGGAGCAATTCTCGATATCTTACCAAACGGCCCCGACAACCACCATGCCGAATTCAATTTCCTTTATCCTCGTATTTTTTATTATTTTTTTTCGTGTCGGAAATTTTTCGGACGTTCGGCACCGGGTGGGCCGGTGTGCAGCAACGGATGGGCTGGTGTGCGGGGCAGCCTTGCCCAAACTAGTTGCTCCCGACGTTTTCCTATCAATTCTCGAAATCTGACAAAACTGCCCGACAACCACCGTGCCAAATTCAATTACCTACGTCCTCGTAATTTTATTATTTTTTTCGGGTCGGAAAATTTTCGGACATTCGGCACTGGCCCAGCCGGTGTGCGGGGCAGCCTTGCCCAAACTAGTCGCTCCCGACATTTTCGGAGCAATTCTCGAAATCTGACCAAACGGCCCCGACAACCATTGTACCAAATTCAATTTCCAATGTCCTCGTATTTTTTATTATTTTTTTCGGGTCGGAAAATTTTCGGACTTTCGGCACCGGCCCAGCTGGTGTGCGGGGCAGCCTTGCCCAAACTAGACGCTCTCGACGTTTTCGGAGCAATTCTCAAAATCTGACAAAACGGCCCCAACAACCACGGTGCCAAATTCAACTTCCTACGTCCTCGTATTTTTTATTATTTTTTTCAGGTCGGAAAATTTTCGGACTTTCAGCACCGGCCTAGCCGGTGTGCGGGTTAGCCTTGCCCCAAACTAGTCGCTCCCAACATTTTCAGAGCAATTCTCGAAATCTGACAAAACGGCCCCGACAACAACTGTGTCAAAGTCAATTTCCTACGTACTCGTATTTTTAATTATTTTTTTCGGGTCGGAAAATTTTCGGACTTTCGGCATCGGCTGGGCCGGTGAACAGCAACGGCTGGGCCGGTGTGCGGGGCAGCCTTGCCCAAACTAGTCGCTCCCGACGTTTTCGAAGCAATTCTTGAAATCTGACAAAACAGACCCGACAACCACCGTGCCAAATTCAATTTCCTACGTCCTCGTATTTTTTATTATTTTTTTGGGTCTGAAAATTTTCGGACGTTCGGCACTGGCTGGGCCGGTGTGCAGCAAAGGTTGGGCCGGTGTGCGGGGCAGCCCAGCCCAAACTAGTCGCTCCCGACGTTTTCGGAGCAATTCTCGAAATTTGACAAAACGGCCCACACAACCACTGTGTCAAATTTAATTTCCTATGTTCTCGTATTTTTTATTATTTTTTCGGGTCGGAAATTTTTCGAACGTTCGGCACCGGCTGGGCCGGTGTGCAGGGCAGCCTTGCCCAAACTAGTCGCTCCCGATGTTTTCTGAGCAATTCTCGAAATCTGACAAAACGGCCCCGACAACCACGGTGCCAAATTCAATTTCTGACGTCCTCTTATTTTTTATTATTTTTTTCGGGTCAGAAAATTTTCGGACTTTCGGCACCGGTCCAGCCGGTGTGCGGGGCAGCCTTGCCCAAACTAGTCGCTCCCGACGTTTTCGGAGCAATTCTCGAAATCTGACAAAACAGCCCCGAAAACCACCGTGCTAAATTCAATTTCCTACGTCCTCGTCTTTTTTATTAGGGTCGGAAAATTTTCGGACTTTCGGCACTGGCCCAGCCGGTGTGCGGGGCAACCTTTCCCAAACTAGTCGCTCTCGACGTTTTCGAAGCAATTCTCGAAATCTGACCAAACGGCCCCGACAACCACCATACCAAATTCAATTTCCTACGTCCTTGTATTTTTTATTATTT